AGACAGCTAATCTCCAAGGCACAGAGCACCATATTTTCAGTGGGTGTTACGTAGGAGAGTGAGAACTATGATGAAGGAAGCAGAGTAGGAGCTATCAAAGTTCCAAGTTCATAAAACAAAAATCACTTTTGATTAATTACTAGCAATGTGAATAACAGTAATAGAAAGTACACAAACATTTAAAACCTTTAAAAGACTAAATCAATTATATCCAATCTTCCGTATACACGTGTACCTAATTGTGGGTTCAATCAATGATGGATTGAAAACTTTTTTTTAAAAAAATTGCAAAAAAAGGCCGGGCGTGGTGACACACACCTTTAATCTTAGCACTTGGGAGGCAGAGGCAGGGAGATCTCTGTGACTTCAAGGCCAGCCTGGTCTATACAGTGAGTTCCAGGACAGCTGGGGCTACAGGGAGACCCTGTCTCAAAAAGACCAAAAAAAAAAAAAAAAAAAATTGCAAAAAAAAAACCATACAAAAAAATGTAAAGACTTGTTTATCTTGTCAATTAGATAGTATAAGTAATCTAGATAGCCAAGCAACTGTTCACAAAGAGCAATGCTGGGGGAATTACTATACCAGATCTCAAAGTATACAATAGAGCTATAGTCATAGAAACAGCATAGTACTGGCACAAAACAATAGACACATATTATCATATAGATCAATGGAACATCATTGAAGACCCAAACCTGAGTACACACAAGAACACACAATGGAGTAAAGACAGCATCTTCAACAATGGTGCTGGCAAAACTGGATCCCCACCTGTAGAAGAATGAAACTAGATCCTTATCGTTCACCTTGCACAAAAGTCAACTCCAAATGGATCAAAGACCTCAATGTGAAACTGGAAACCCTGAAACTAATAGAAGAAAATATTGGCAGTAACTTACAAGATATAGGTGTAGGAAAGGATTTTCTAAACCAGACAGAAGTTCCCCAGGAATTAAGGTCAACAATCAAAAAGTGGGAACTCATCGAACTAAAAAGCTTCTGTAGAACAAAAGAAACAATCAAAAAAGTGAAGAAAAAACCCACAGAGTGGGTTAAAAAACTTCAATAGTGACACATCTGACAGAGGTTTAACATCCAGAATATATAAAGAACTCAAAAGACAAAGAATAGAGAAGCCAAATGACCTAACTAAAAGATGGGCTAAAGATCTAAACAGAGTTCTCAATTGAAGAAATAAAGATGGCTAAGAAACATCTTAAAAAGTGTTCAACATTGTTCCCTTTAATCTTTGGTTATACTTTCGTTTTGGGTGTTTAAGTTCATTCATTTGGCCCAGATAAACCAACTTATTTTTAGTCCTAAGGTTGCTGGTTGAGGGTGTAAAGAAAGGGAAATGCTCATTCACTGCTGGTGGGATTGCAAGGTCGTGCAACCCTTATGGAAAACAGAGTGAAGAATTCTTAAAAAACTAAAAATGAACCTACCATATGACCTGGTTATACCACTCCTTGGCATATACCCAAAGGACTCATCCTATTGTAAGACACTTGTACAACCGTGTTTGTTGCTGCTCTTTTCACAATAGCTAAGAGATGGAACCAACCTAAGTTCCCCTCAACTGACAAGTGGCTAACAAAAATGGTTAATTCCTTTTACACAATGGAGTTCTATTCAGCACTAAAGAAAGATGAAATAATGAAATTTTCAGGTAAATGGATGGATCTAGAAACTGTTATACTAAGTGAAAAACAAAAGATGTATGTTCTCCCTCATTTGTGGATCCTAGCACCAAATCCTTGTAAGTGAGTGCATATCCTGATGCAACTGCAGGGACCAGGAATATGGAAGGGAAACAGGGAGGTAAAGGGAAAGAAGGAACCTGAGAGAATAGTAGGATAAAAGTGTTACTAAGGGAGAAAGATGTAAAAGGGGGGTAGTTAAAGGGGAGAGGGGAAGGAGGGATATACAAAGAACTATGGGAATAAAGGGGGAAAAATTTGCCAGACACACAGTTAAAAAAAAAAAAAAAAGCCTTAAACACAGAAGGAACCATATGGGGATGGAAGAAAGTCCTACCAGAAGCAATATGGTTGTTGAATGAAAATCCCAGTGCCAGAGATGGGTTGCCACCCTATGAGCTGTTAGCCTGAGGGGCCCCAGAGGTTCCCCCAAGCAATAAAGGCCATTGCCAATAATGGTTGTACACCGGAAGTGGACAGAGGGAACCTATTGCTGAAGACACTGCTTGATGTGAACACAGGAGAGGGAGAAGTCAAGCTTGGACTAAGATGGAAACTCCCGAAATCCCAGTGCCAGAGATGGGTTGCCACCCTATGAGCTGTTAGCCTGAGAGGCCCCAGAGGTTCCCCCAAGCAATAAAGGCCATTGCCAATAATGGTTGTACACCGGAAGTGGACAGAGGGAACCTATTGCTGAAGACACTGCTTGATGTGAACACAGGAGAGGGAGAAGTCAAGCTTGGACTAAGATGGAAACTCCCGGCCACTGGATGGGTGGCTTTCATGGTGCCAGAAGGCGATATGCAGATGACTGGGAGAGAATGGTCCCCTATAATTCTGCTCAACAATGGACACCCTGCTCAACGTGCTGCATTATCAACATGCCAAACAAGATGTTCCTGCTAGTGCAACAGTGGAGCATCTAGTGCATGCACAACCAGAAAATTTTCAATTGGCTATAATGCCCACTCCTAGGGGTGGAACACACATCTGGTACTGTAGACCAGGCCAACCCCCTATGGCAGGGGAGAATACAGGCCCCAGTGGGAAGCCACTGCAATTGTTTTGTTAGATGGATGTGATGCACCTGCTAAAGTACTGTCCAAGTGTTTGTGTTTACTCCCTTAGTTTAAGTTATTATAGCAGCCACTGTTTAGATGTGCTTGCTTCTTGCTGTTTGTGTTTTTATAGTAGATGGAATCCCACTTAAATGGGCTAACAGTCTATGGGAAACAGATGATGCAGAGACCCAAAAGTTCAGTGCCTTGCCACAATGGGAGGAAGATCATCCCACACCTATCATCCCCCTCAAGGCTCAGGGACTTTTGTGGAAGAGGTTGGTGGAAAGAATGCAAGAGCTGGAGGAAGGGGTAGAGTGTTAACTGGAAGTGTCCTGTGACCACTCTGCCAGCAAGCTATAGTCACACCTCTTTCCCATGCTCATCAAGGAGTCAAGGGAGGTGTCAGTTACCCCTCTCACCCAATCAGTTGACCTTAGCTGCATGTGGAGGAGGGGCTAAGGATATATAAGCCAAAAACGCAATGAGGCACCTCTCTCACAGCTTTGTGTGGCTATGGGGAAGTCACAGGATCTATATTTGAGTGTGGACTTTCCAATGCAGCCATAAATAGGGGAGGGGTGCACTACCCTGTAAATAAGCCCCCATCCTAAGCTTTATTAGCAAGCTCAATAAACTAGTTAGAATTAAAAAAAAAAAAAAAAGAACAGAACTGATGGAAACCTTCATTATTCCACGAAAGTTGACCCCACGTTGGCAAATAAGGTTTTAACTCAGAATGATCCCTTTTTAGTATCAAAAATACGGAAATTCCTCCCTTTTAAAAAATAAAATAATAATGAAAAACAAAATCAGGAATTTATTTTTTAAAGATGAAAAACTATACATATTCCCACTCCAGAAGAGAATATTACTTTTAGTTTCCGTGTAATTATTTTTCGAGTAAATTAAAAATATTAGTGAAATTTAAAATATTAGGGTATTTGATGTTTTTTTTTTTTTTTGGTCTTTTTGAAACAGGGTCTCCCTGTAGCCCCAGCCATTATGTAGACCAGGCTGGCCTTGAACTCACAGAGATCCTCCTGCCTCTGCCCCCTAAGTGCTGGGATTAAAGGCGTGTGCCACCACACCCAACAATTTTCTTTTTTTGTAAAGCCAGAAAAGAATATTTCTCTAAAAACACTCATTTTATCTTTTACTTGAATTATTAAATGATGTTTTAAAAATGGAAGTATATGCATTCAAGTGCACAGTCCTTCCTTGGTATCTATGGAGGATTGTTCCCTTGGGCTCTCTGCAGATGTCATAATCCAGGACTGCTCAAGTCTCTTATGTAAAATTGTATATTATTTTCACATAACTTATCATATCCTCTTATATACTTCAGATCCTCTCTAGATTATACTATCTAACTGACAATATAAAGAAGTCCTTATATTTTTTGTATGATTTTTTGTTTTGCAATTTTTTTAGAATATTTTTATCATTCCAAAGAGGCAATTTGTAACACATTTTTCCAGAAATAACTTGAAGCAGGTTACATAAAAAATATATACATACAATGAAGTTTAAGGGTAGAAAAGTAGGGATAAGAAATCAAGGACCAAAGCCAGGTGTGGTGACACACATCCTCAATCCTAGCATTTGGGAGGCAGAGCCCAGAAGATTTCTGTGAGTTCAAGGCCAGCCTGGTCCACATAACAGGCTCCAGGTCAGCTGGGGCCACAGGAAGACCCTGTCTCAAAAAGACAAAAAAAAAAAAAATCTATAGTCCTATAAATATCACAGTACATGAGTGTGCAAAAGCACACATAAAGAAGACAAAACTTATTAAATCAAGACAATGCTTCATGTTTAAGTATGTAGAACAGAATTATATTACTACTTACCAATTTGTTTACAAATGTGAAAAGCAAAGGTTCAAAATACATCATTAAAGGAACTCTCCAAGATGGAACACATACAGAAGGGATATATTTCTTTTTGCTACAAAATTTTCCGTGGCTATTTTTAGTATACAACTGTTGCACAAAGTATTTTTCCCATAAAAGGCTCTCACACTTATAAATATAACCTCAAGATGATCAGTTGGCAAGGGAAAAAAAGGGACAAATTTATTTTAGACTGACATAGAAAAGAGAAGGGGAGTGCTAAGAAACATTTCCAGTATCTACTTACCAGCCCTAGAGAAAAAACAAACAACCTTCCTAAAAACACAATTATTTGAGATATTTAATAATGATACCAGGTTGAATTATGAAAGAGAGCCCACTGTTTTACCTCAGGTTTTAGATCTCTATGTACCACTCCAACATCATGCATGTGGCTTACAGCTGAAACAAGCTTCCGCATGATATAGCTAGCTTCAGTCTCACTGAAGTGTTTCTTTTTCTTGATGCGTTCAAATAGCTCTCCCCCATTCAGAAGTTCCATCACAAGAAATGTATGAAGCTAGAGAAAAATAATGAAAAGAAATAATGTAGGTCCTATTGAAAATGTGTAGACATTTATTATTGCACAGAACATTTACTAACCATTATTGATCACCAGTAAATTTAAATAATCTCTTGTTAAAACAACCAACAAAATCTCTGTATTTTAGAGCAAAGAGCCAAAGGATAATGTGGCTTTTAGAACTTCATTTTGGTAATGGAAAATTTAAAGCATTTCAGTAAAATCTTCATATATCTTTTCCTTTACCTCATTTCCATGCTCTAATCATCTCTATTGTTTGCAAGTTTTTGTTTTAAAAGTATGACCCGTGCTGACAATAATCTGAAAATCTATGGTAAATAATCTAAGGGATTACCAACTAGGTATATGCAAATCCACCATGAGATCTGGCACACCCATTTCATGGCAAGTTTACCTTGTAAGAAAGGTACTGTTTGATAACCTTAGGGCTAAATGATTAATTTCAGGGTTCTCAGTAATACTCATTGCAAAATCCATAATTTACTATATAAATTCTTTTAAAAATATTTTTTGTGTGGGGGGGTTCTTTTTGAGGCAGGGTCTCCCTGTAGCCCCAGCTGTCCTGGAACTCACTATGTAGACCAGGCAGGCTTTGAACTCACAGAGATCTGCCTGCCTCTGCCTCCCAAGTGCTGGGATTAAAGGCATGCGCCACCACACCTGGCCAAAAATAACTGTTTTTATCTGGGTGTGGTGGTGCATGCCTTTAGAACTCAGGAGGCAGAGGCAGGCAGATTTCTGTGCGATTTAGGCCAGTCTGATTTACATAGTGAGTTCCAGACCACTAGGCAACAGGGAGACCCAGTCTCAAAGAACAAAAACAAACAAAATTAATCATTAAGCCTGACTTTGGACCTGTGATCTCCATTCATTGTTAAGATAATAAGTGTATTAAGTTTGGGGTGATTTGCTACAGCAGCAATAGGGAACCAACCCATAGAGCATGTAAAATAGGGATCATGGGACACAAAATGAGCTGTTCTCTCACACTGTTGAAGGCTGAAGACCCATTTGAATCACTGTCACCCACTAGTTAAAAATGACTATGTAGATGTTAAGGATCAACTAGGCAACCTCAAGTGTCACTGTCATGGGAAAAACTAAAGGAATATTTCAACAACTGCATCAGAATTATAATTATATTTATACTACTATATGTAGGATTATATCATGTGAAAATTTATATTCTAGTAATTCTTGAATACAAAAATAGCAAATAATCAACTTGTGACATAAAATTAGTAATATAGGGGGCTGGAGATATGGCTCAGCGGTTAAGAACACTGGCTGTTCTTGCAGAAGACCCAGGTTCAAATCTCAGCACCCACATGGCAGCTAACAACCGTCCATAACTCCAGTTCCAGGGACTCCAACAGCCTCTTCTGTCCTCCAAGGGCATTACATGACATGGGTGCACTTACATATATGCAGGCAACACACTCATACACATAAAATAAAAATAATAAATTAAAAAAAATTAGTGATATAGGAGAGATGGCTCAGTGGTTAAGAACACTGGCTGCTCTTCTAGAGGACTTGGGTTTTGGTTCCCAGTACCCATATGGCTGCTAACAATTGCACATAACTCCAGTTCTAAGGGATCTAACACCCTTTTCTGACCTTCATGGACACTGTATAAATGGGTACACTTACATACATGCAGGCAAAACATTCATACACTTAAAAATAAAAAATAAAATTAAAAATTGTGATGTGCTTCTTTTTTAAAAAATTACTTATTAGTATTTTATGTATTTGAGTATATTGTCTGCATGCACATTAAGTGCTGGTGTCATGCAATGCCCACAGAAGTCAGAAGAGGGTGTTGGATTCCCCTGGAACTGGAGGTACAGAAGGTTGTTAGTCACCATGTGGGTGCTAGGATTTGAACCCAGTCCCTCTGAAAGAGCAGCTGGTGCTCTTAACCACTGAGCCATTTCACCAGCCCTGTGTGACATGACTCTTGAGAACTGTTATCAGTCAGAAGTTCAAAGATCCAAAGTCTAGATTGAGATATGACAAGGGGCACAGATGCAAAACTACAGATGGAGGTGTCAGAGTTGGTCCACTGATTCCTTGATTGATAAGTGAGGTTTCTCTCCATCTGCATCAAAAGGATACTGTCCAATCTTTCACTGTGCACATCTAATGGACAGAGGACTCACTGCTTCCATGGTAGTTTGAGTAGGTCAACAAGGTAGAAGGCAGTGGAGGAGCAAGGAGAGCATTCTCCTGAGCTCTTGCTTCTGAGGCATTCCTTCTCTGACTATGAGAACCAAAAAGTAGAGGATGATAATCAATCTTAGATGCTCACTGCCTGACATAAAAATCAGGCTGTGTATCTACCTCCTTTAAGGGAGCAGAGCAAAGTAATTAAAAGCTTGTTGGGCTCTGAAATTGGACTTCAGTCTCTTCACTAACAAACTGTGAGCCTCTGCTACTGAACTATGAATGTTTGCTTTCCTCCTTCAGAGTTAAGGTAAGGACTGAGATAATATATGTAGAGTTTCTGCTACAGTGCCTGGATCACATAAAGCACAACTGGGCAGCAACTGTTATATTTATGATGTGTTCCTGCTGCTGCGTGACATCACCATGATGAATCATTCTTGGCTGTGGTACTTTCAGAAATAAGGCGCTACAGAACTGAGTTCCAGCAATCCTAGTCATAGACATCACAGCAGACAATGAGGAATGCCTAGAACTGGGTACCAAGTTCTCCTTACTAGATTAGGACTTATGCAACCCTGGTACAAGTCTTATGACCTTTAGGAATCTCAGGCCCTTCATTGTTAAAATTAGAGCAAACCACTTTCAGGATTAGCTTTAGCATTTGTACCTCATTTTTGTCCTGAGCAGGGCTCTATCATCTGTCTGGTATCAGAGGAAAGAATATTGAAGTAGAACAATTTCAGGCATGGGAGGTAGCAATGGGAGGGGCTGAAAGGTGCTACAGACCAGACACATCATATTCCCCCCATCTATGCAAGTGACAGGCTTCTATGTGAGCCTTGTAATGGAAAGGAGGACTAAGAGTAGAAGAGGATGTAGAAGGGCCTGTCCTGGAGACGGGTAGACACTGCCACCCGGAACAAGATGAAAGGGGGTATCTTTGTCCTTCTATTCCTGTTCGTCCTTTAGCTTGTAATAACTGGGATTGGGAGTCTACATTTGAAAGTTGAAGACTCAAAATCAACAAGTGCTGAGGAGTATGCAGTGATTAAGTGATGGTGGGAGGCAGCTATACTAGCAATAAGCATGATGTAGTCTATGACAACCACTGGGCTCTTGCCCCTCTGATCTCCTTCCATGTCACTATGCCAACAATGGATCAAGGAAGGTAGAAGTGAAAGGTTGAGCTGATTCAGACTTGGAAAAGTGTGGGAGGTGTTTTCTCTGCCTTTCCTAGCGTCTGGGTGATAATCTGTATCTGACTCTAACTCAGCACATTGTAAATTTGCTGTGAAATTGACCCTGTATATAAATTAGTACACATGAAAGGGGAGGAAGCTTACGAAATACCTGATCATGAAAAACTTCATGCAACTTCACAATATTGGGGTGTCCTTCACAGAGTTTCAGAGCTGTTATTTCTTTCTGAGTATTGGCTTCCATCCTGCAAAATCAGAGTTAACATCTACGTGTCTCTCCCAGCAAGTTTCTATGTTAGTGCCCCAGCCCTAATTTTGTCTTTATTTACATTGCATTCAGAATATACATGTCAACGTATCAAAATGAAATTTCCATGTAATGAATCATGCCACCCATGAAGTAAAACATTCTTTTTTGAGAAAATTATCCCCCTGAGTCAGAAAAGAGACTCACTGCCTGACAATTTGGTAATGAGAATATACAATCATGAAAATAAGAATCTGTTACCAGAACAACTAGCTGGCTTTGTTCCCAAAGCTACCAGTAGCTCGCCAAATAATTTTGGAGAAAAATATTCGACTAATAGAAGTTACTAAGCAAGTTTGGTTAAATATGTCATTGCCACAAGGAGCTTTTTCCATCAAATATGCAACAGAGTGCAATTAAAATGGATTATTACTTCATCAGAAAATGCTAGCACTAGAAGCATCATGGAACAACTAATAAAGCACATAGAAAGAAAAAAAAAGGCTTACAATACACTGTTGATTTCCCTTTCCATAAAAATCTTAATTTACAGAACTCATTGAGTAGGATAAATACAGAAGAAAGACTGCTACAAATGGTCATACCTTTTGCTAATTATTTTGACAGCAAATGCTTGGTTGCTTTTTTTGTGTATGCACTTTCGACAAATTGAGAAACTTCCTTCTCCCAATGGTTTGTCCTTCAGATCTAAGTCATAGTGTTGATAGAATGGAGAGTCCTGGTAAGAAATCAACATCATTTAACTTAATAAAAGGTTAGTAATACACAAAGGTTAAGTAAAACTGCAAGTTAATGTGACATTATTACTATTAATAAATAACAATGTAATTAATCATCTAAAACTCATCTTACTCAGTTTATATTTTCATCTATATATTAATTCAGGATATATCATCCTCAATTATTAGAAAAAGGAGCTCAAATCAATGTTAATTCTCCAGGGAACATACTGTCATTTCCACTCATTTACTCATTTTCTAAAATTGTCCTTTAGGTGAATGATAGTCTATTAAGTTTACTGGACTCAAGAACATCAGTTAGTGCTTAAACATTCATGGAAACTATAAATACACGATCAAAGTAACTACATCTATATACCTTCATCATCGCACTCCTGGCAACATTTGTCACTCCAGGACGTTCAATTCCTATATGAAACTGAAGAGGATCTATGACAGCTGCGTTACGCTTAAAGAGGATAGAAGGAGCAACGAAGGAATAGCCCTAAAAAAGAGAAGGTAGAAAACAAAGATTTACAATTCAGTTTGGTGTAGACTGGAAATATTCAGACAAATGTAATTTTATATGCATTCCAAAATGCAGTTATTGCAACTCAACAGAAAAATGCTTTTCAAAGGAAATAATGCCATCTTCTGGTAGAACTAAACCAAATAAAAGCAGTAGAAAAAAGGAAGCTTCCTCCCTACTCCACCCCCCAAACCTCTTAATTCAAGCCTGTAATTCCTTTGCATTGCTGATATTAGTTTATAAACTCAATTGCCTCTCAAAAAAGATAGTTAACACGCCAAATAAAGTGGTCTGTCTTTGGCGTCAGTTGTCAACTTGATACACCTGGGAAGAGGAAAGCTCAACTGGACCTGTGAGGCACTTTCTTGATTGTTGAGCAATGTGGGAGGGCCCAGCTGCCCCAGCCCACTGTGGGCAGTGCCATCCCTGGATAGATGGTCCAGGGTTGTATAAGAAGGCAGGCAGGCTGATCACAGACCAGAGAAGAAAGCCAGTAAGCAGCGTTCCTTCGTGGTTGGTGCTTCAGTTCCTGCCTCCAGGTTTCTACCTGGCTTCCCTCAAAGACGGACTGACACTTGGAAGCATAAGATGCAATAAACCCTTTCCTTCCCAAGTTGTTTTGGTCAGTGTTTCATCACAACAATAGAGAAGTTAACTAGGTCATGGTCCAAGTGCTACTGTATTTCAAAGGAGAAAAAGAACAAGTTTCATTAAACTTAATTTCTAATTTAGCAATTATCGGATTTGCATTCTATGTTTTCAGAATAGCTAAACTTAAAATTGAGTTGTGGGCTGGGAGTGTGGTGCACACCTTTAATCCCAGCACTTGGGAGGCAAAGGCAGGTGGATCTCTGTGAGTTTAAGGCCAGTTGGGGCTACAGGGAGACCCTGTCTCAAAAAGGCCAAAAAAAAAAAAATTGAGTTTAGGAATATAATGAAAGAACATAATGGAAGAATGATGTGGTAAGCCAGAAGTGACAAATGATGGATCTCTGTTCAAGCTAGGACATTCACTAGTTCATCAACAAACATCTAATAAGTACTTGGTCATGAGCCTCAGAGTGACATGATAAACAAGAGGCACAGTCTACAAGGCCAGATTAAACCATACTAGAGGCATCTACAGGGGCCAGAGAAGTATAGCTATGATACAGTTTAACAGGTGGAGTATCTTATTTGTGATAAAAATTTTTTTTCTAAAAATAAAACTCTTAATTTTTAATTTTTTAAGTTATACAAATGATGGGTCTCCTTATGACATTTTCTTATTTATTTATCTTGTGTATGAGTGTTATGCCTGCAAGCATGTAAGTGCACCCGTGTTGTGCAATGCTCTCAGAGGACAGAAGAGGGCATCAGATCCCCTGGAACTGGAGTTATGGACAGTTGTTGGGTGCCATGTGGGTGCTGGGAATTGAACCCAGGTCTTCTGCAAGAGCAGTCATTGCTGTTAACTGCTGAGCCACCTCTTCAACCCCTCCTTATGACATTTTCATATACACATATTGTTTTAGTTTCTTTTATTGTTGCTGTGGTAAAATACTCTGAAAAAATCAACTTAGGGGACAAAAGGTTTATTTAGCTCACAGTTCCAGGTTATATAGTCCATCCCTGCAGGGAAGTCACAGCTTGAGACAACTGGTTATATTGCATCCATAGTCAAGAAGCAGAGAGCAACACATGCTTGTGCTCAGCTCCCTTTCTCCTTTTCATTTAGTCTTGGACCCAGCCCATGAAATGGTGCCACTCATTTGAATTAACCCAGTTAAAAATCTCTCACAGGGATGCCCACGGGCCTACCTAATCCTTCACTAGACTCTCTTTTCATGTGATTCCAGATTTGGTCAGATTGGCAATTAACACTAATCATCACATACATCCTTGTCCTTTGCTCCCATTTACAGGACCAAGAAGGGGAAGGGGGGTCAAGGGAGGGTGATAGTTGGGGAAAAAATTTTTATAAAATAAAAATTTTTTTCTGTAAAAATTTTTTTATAAATCATTGTTGTTTATTTATTTAAGACAGGGGTTCACTGTAGCACTGACTAGTCTTGAAATCACTGTGTAGCTGAGGATGACCTTGACCTTTTGATCCTCCCAAGTGCTGAGATTACAGGTGCAGGACACCATATTTGGTTTTATGCAATGCTGCAGACTGTACCAGGGGCTTTGCGCAGGCTAGACAAGCACTCTACCAACTGAGCTACATCCCTAACCCCCTTTCTAAGTCTTTAACTCTGAAAGCATGTATAATTATTCACTAGAGATAAAGAATCAGACAACCTCAAACTTACGAATATTTTATATGAACCAAGTAAAAAATATCATTATAACTTCTATATAAGTCTCAACAAAAATAAATTTTCAGGTATAAAATGAATACTTATGTGAAAAAACAAACAAATAAATAATGTAATAAATCTGTTATTTAGCAAACCATAAGCTTCAGATAATAGTAATCTGATAT